CACCCATGTAAGAGCCGAGGTGGCGCAGTGATTAAATGCAGCACTGCAGGCTACTTCAGCTGACTGCAGTTCTGCAGTTCGGCTGTTCAAATCTCACTGGCTCAGGGTTGACTCAGCCTTCCATCCTTCCAAGGTGGGTAAAATGAGCACCCGGATTGTTGTTGGGGGCAATATGCTGACTCTGTTAAACCGCTTAGAGAGGGCTGAAAGCCCTATGAAGCGGTATATAAGTCTAACTGCTATTGCTATTGCTATAATAACAAACTCTGGATGGCTCCCACTCAATAATTGACTCAAAAACTATATTAAAAGCAAATGCATAAGAAGAAAAATCTGGTGCAAATTCAAATGTAATCCTCTCTTTTTATCCCAGTGCTTAGGGGAAAAGCTAGAGCTTCCTCGCTCTATGGAAGACTAGGACAGGGGTTGGCAAACTAAAAGACTCAAAGAGTCATGTGGACCCGTTTCCCACAGAACAGAAAACACCGCGAGCCACAAAGGTCCTAACCGGAAGCCCCCTGTTCAATTCTGGAGCTGACCAGAAGTTCAGTTCCCCCACACCATAGAGTCTCCTCCTAGTGTGGCGTACTTTTTCCTCTATCTGTCATAACAGAAAACACTATCAATTGTGGAGACAACTGGAAAACCCTCCCCTTGCCATAGAGTCTTCTCCTGGCGGACTGTGCTTCTCTCCCCACCACCACCGGAAGCTCCTCTCAAAATTGTGGTGCCAACCGGTGACGGAGCTGCAGCAGAGGGAGCAAAGAGCCACATGCAGCTCCAGAGCCGCAGTTTGCTGACCCCTGGACTAGGAGAATAAAGGCCTAACAAACTTCAGGGGGAAGAGTGTCTGATTGGGCAAGAGCTGCAATGGAAAAGAATCGCTTCCTAGCTCCTATCACATGGCAGTATTTAAAGGAAGGGGCTAGGAGGGTGCACAGCCTATCTGACCTGGTAGGACAGGTGGGTGCAAAAATAATAAAGGTGGGGCAGTAGTGACAGGTGCCCTGGTGGCTCAGTGGTTAGAATGCAGTATTGCCAGCTGACTCTGCCCACAGCCTGGAATCTCCAGAACTGGTCAGAACCTGCTGAATAGCACCTCTGATGTAGAGGGGTTTTGAGGGCGACTAAGGGACAACTATTAAATCCCAGGACTCTTTAGATCAGCTTTCTTGAAACTAGCGACCTCCAAATGTTTTTTGTAAGCTGCCTGGGAATATTCAATGCTGTAATCTTAACTGCTCTGGAAATGGGAAAGGCTCCTTAGAGCAATTCTGCCCTCTAATGAGATTTAGGCCCTGCAAGAATGCAGATAGAAAAATAATATTTCCTGTCTAGATGTGTTTGGAAGCAATGCGAGTGGGCTCTTCAAGGTTTTTATAAATAACCTTAGATTATCAACAAACACCTGGCTTGAAATCAAGCTTCTGATGTGCGGGTATCTCTTCTTATCCTATCCTGCCAAACTTCAGGGGGAAGAGTGTTTCATAGGGAAGGGTATGCAACGGAAAAGTCTCACTTCCTAGCTCACATGGCAATATTTAAGGAGGGGATAGGAGCATAACCACTCTATCTGACCTGGTAAGACAGATGGAGGCAACAATAGTAAAGGTGGGAAAATAATGACAGGTGCCCTGTTGGCTCGGTGGTTAGAATACAGTATTGCCGTCTGTCTCTGCCCCCAGCCTGGAATTCGATCCTGACAGGGTTCTAGTTGGACTCACCGTTCTATCCTTCTGAGATTGGTAAAATGAGGACCCAAATTGTTGGGGACAATATACTGACATTATAAACTGAGTGGTATAAAGCACTTTGGGATGGTATATAATTTTAACGGCTGTTGCTATAATAAACGAATACTGTTAAAGGTGATAACCTTGAAATTGCACCTGTAAAGGAACGAATTCAGTGCAGGTCACAACACAAAGGTGTTACATGGGCAAAGTGTTAAAACTTCTCTTTCCTCAGCAGATGGAGGAGACAAAGGAGTGATTAACAGAAACAGGGTTTTCAGGTGGATTATGTGGAACTGAAGGAAATATTGCATGAAGAGGTTAAAAGATACAATTATTCTCCAGGGCACCTGAGTGTAGAAGAAGAAGCAATGGGTGGAAACTAATCAAGGAGAGAAGCAACTTAGAACTGAGGAGAAATTTCCTGCCACAACACTGGAAGTCTTTAAGATGTTGGATAGCCATTTGTCTGAAACTGTATAGGGTTTCCTGCCTAAGCAGGGGGTTGCATTAGAAGACCTCCTAGGTCCCTTCCAATTCTGCTATTGTATTATTGTATTAGTTATCTTGCAACCCCCAAGACCAAAAACTGGAACAACAAAAGGGAGATGCACTTTCTCCTTGCCGGTTTCCCCCTTATTTCCCAGCTAGGACGCTTTCCTTTGGTTTAGTTGGAGTAAGAGAGGCAATGAATGGACTCTTGGGAAACCTGAAACAAAATGTTTAGGGTAGACTCTCATGGACGAAAGCTATTCCTGTGCTCAGTGGGGGTCGAATAAGACCTGATGGCACAGAAGGAAGCACGGAATCAATGAAAAACCCCTGCAAACCCGCTCTGGAAAAAGAAACTCGAGACTAGAAATACAGCACAGTAGCGGCGTTGTTAGTTTACTGGACGGGGAGCAGGGACAGCGATGGAACAAGTGGAAACAATAGAGAATTGTATTGCTAGAGAAGATGATGAGGCGAAGAGCAGCGGAACTTCCTCTTCCGGCTCAGCCACGGGAGGATAATGGCGTCGGCGGAGCCTCTTGTGCTGCTTGGAGGGTCGAAGCGGCTCCTGGGAGGTGAGTGGAGGGAAGGTCGGAGGAGAAGCCGGGAGCAAGTCGGGCCCTTTGGCTTCCTCCACGGCCTGGAAGCAGAGGAAGCAACGGGGGTAAAAGATATTGGCTGCTCCTGCTGCATATCCTTTCTCTCCCCAAATGTTTTTATCCTTTCGCTGCATGATTTAAAATTGCTGCCTTGTGATTTTACCAATGGGAGATTTGGGAGATTTAAAACGTCTTTTTTCATATTTCTAGCTTCCTCAGTCTTCACGTAATATTTCATTCCTTGTGATGTTATTGACATGCTGCTTTTTGTACATATATAAATTTATATGTGTGCATTGATGTATGCATATACATGTATCTGTATAAACCTCAGTATTTTCTGTTATTTTTATAACACTTTGCACCTGAGTATAGAACAAGAAGCAATGGGTGGAAACTAATCAAGGAGAGAAGCAACTTAGAACTGAGAAGAAATTTCCTGACAGTTAGAACAAT